TCCTCCTCCTCCTCCTCATCCTCCTCTGGCCTTCCTCCTCACCCCCCGCCTCGCCCGGGGAGCCCGAGCGGGAGGCACGGCCGGCGGGGGGCAAACCTGTGGGGAGATGGCAGAACTGAGGGGACCTCTGAGGCTGTCCTCCCCCCGCGAGGCCCACGGTCCCCCCGTTGGGTTGTTGGGCTGGAGGATGTTGGTCTCTGGTTGTAGCTCCAGCAGGGTTGGGAGGAGGTGTCCACCAGCCTGTCTTCTAGATGTTTGGCCAAAAGAGGAGAGAGTGAAAAGCAAGTTTTCAGTTCCAGCTGATTCTCTTCTGCAAGATGCGTGTTCTACGTGAGCCATCTCCTCCTCCTCTCATTATTTGGGTCATTTTTCTCTCCTTGCACTTTTTTTTTTGGTTATTTTTGAAAACTCTTAAGATGAAATTTTTTTATAGGAAGGAAACGGGGGTGAGACGTGAGATAAGTGGCTGGGTTTTGGAGGGTAGGCTAATATTCTGATATTCTAATATTCTAATAATAAGCTGGTGGCATGGGGGAAGGTGCTTCACTAGAAGGAGAACTCCAGTAAGAAGCAGCCCTCATGGGTCAAGAAGTGCCCTTGTGAGTCAAGAAGGTGCCCTTGTGGTTCAAGAAGGTTCCCTCATGATTCAAGAAGGTGCCCTCGTGGTTCAGAAAGCCTTGAAAATTGCACATCTGTGGATTCCCCACCTCACCCAGCCTGCCAGGAAGCCTGGCCTTAGCCCTGGATGGACCCTACTCTGATGCTGAGCTCCCTCTCTGCTTCATGTGGCTTTGCCTGCCCCAGCTCCCACAGGCACCGTCCTTTCACCGTGCCCAGGACTGTGGCTGAGGACAGGTGGGGTGACAGAGTGGTGGTCCCTCCCCAAGCCCACCCCTGTTCCCAGCAGGGCCCAGCCCCTGTGTGTCCCCCCCTCCCCCCCCAGCTCCTGGACACAGGTCATACTGGCTGATGGTGTCCTTCGCAGCGGCCGCCTGGGGGGCTCTGGCTGGGGAGACAGTCTCACTTCTGGAGGCTCTGGAGAGAAGATGCTGGATCTATTCCTTGTCACGGGAGGAGCAAAGTCCCCGAGGGATCTCTGGGGCTGCTGGAAGGAAAGGAGGTTAATCTAGAGGGGCTGCATTAAATGGGAGATGCTCTGAGAGGCATCCAGTCCCTCTCAGAAAGCCAACCCCAGCATGTTGCCCCATTGCAGCCCATACACTTTGCAGCCCATTGCTTCCCTTCCTCTTGGCCAGGAAAGGCCACGGGAGCTGGACAAGGCAGCAGGTACCATGGTTGGCCAAGGACTGGCCTTCCCTGCAGCCCGAAAGGGCCAGAGGGTGTCTGTGGACTCCTCACCATCTCCAGGTGGGTGGGGGTGAGCCGGCCTGATGGATACCCCTGGCCATGGGAGGCTGTGAGGAGACTCTGTGAGTGGCTGTTTGAGGGGTTCCGGGTGGCCTCCAGCTGCTCCTTCCACTGGGGGGCCTTGGTCTGTATCATGCCCCGAGCCTGGGGAGAGAAAGAAGGAGAGAGGGTGATGGACAAGGCAGGACAGCTACAGAGGAATCCCAAGGCTGCTGTGTGCATTAGAATAGGGACCGAGTTCTCCTGCAATATTCCTGTGGGAATGGCTAAACAGAGCTCTGCAGGAGTGGATTTATAGGACAGCACCCTGCCATTAACACCCCCACCTCCCACCCCTCTCCCATCACTCACACCCCCAGCTAGAACCACGCCAGCCCTGTCCTCACCCCGTGCCACGCTCTCCCAAGCTAACACACTCAGCAAGACCCCACAGCAATGAGAATTTCCTGACCAATCCATGCCCAGAGGCTGCAGCCCTGGGGCCCTGTGTGCCCCCCAGGGTGGTACCCTGCTGTAGAAGTGGAGCAGAGTGTTGTAGAGCAGCTGGTGCTTTTCGGCCAGGAAGCGGTACCGGCGCCTCTCCTCCAGCTCAGCCTCCCTCTGGCTCTCTGAGACAAATGCCTGCATCTCCAGCCTCAGTCTCATCACGTTCTCCTAGGCCAGGGAGGGGGAAAGAAGGAGAAAAGAGCCCGTGAAAATCCAGCAGAGCAGCCCCACCCTTGGCAGGGAAAGGGCTGAAACGGGTCGTTGTGTCTACCAGCTTCCCAGTCTGCTGGAGCAGCACAGAGGAGCTCGAGCACAGTGCCAGGGATTAAGTCATGGCACACAGGAGGTTTGCTAAATGAGGAAAGGACTTGGCAGGGGTGAGTGCCACAGGTCGACAGCACCCTGTGGAAAAGGAGTTTCCTCCTTTCCAGATAAGCCTGCTGCCTTTTGAAGGTTGGCAAGCAACCCCTTGGCTTTTCAGGAGGACGAGGTTGCTTAGAAATCAGGCCTGGCTCCAGATAAACCCTTCAGTTCTTTTTCCAACCTCCCTTTCCTGCAATTCCT